GTATAGATGTATAGATGTATATATCTATGCCTATATATATATATATATATGTATATAAGCATCAAAAAGCAATACATCAAGATGATAGTTAATACCATGATATCAATTTGGAGCAAGTGTTAACGTGGTGTAGGCGCCAACCAAACACACACCGACTTACATGTCATTATGTTTAATGTTGCATATCTCTGTTGAGGGCATAAACAGCTTATCGAAATTTTTATAACAAAAAGGGGACTCGTGCGTATATAGTGTTGTATAAGTCCTGGTGGCGCAAAATTTCATTCTTCGATCCTCTTTTCACAGGCCGAGGTGGAGGATTATGTCCAGAGTGTAAATGGGAACTTGCCTTTAGAGTTGCGAAGATGGGAAGGGGGCGAAGAAAACAACGCTGAGCTTGTAGAGTTTGTTGCTGACCTGCGTAGGCAAAATATTGAATTGAAGCCGCTGCTTGAAAAGCATAAAATTGAAACAGGTATCACCGGGCCAGAGCACACTAGCAATTCGCCGGATGGAAAGAGTAGTGATGTAAGTAATAACAATTTGGAGAGTAAGGAAAGTATATCTCACGACACAACAGATATACCAATTGACAATGATGAGCAGCTCACAGAGCTATCCACGGACACGCATGACCCCGGTACGCCAACAAAACCAGTGAGTGATAAGGAGGGATCAAGTGATAAAGATGGATCTGAAGAAGGCTCTTTAACCCCTTCGACACCGACTGTCAACCCTCGCGCACGACGGCTGGAACTGGAATTGGCGGCTTTAAGACTTACTCACGCGAGCACCGAACAGAAATGCGCCGAATTCGCAGAGAAGTGCGCAGACTATGAAAGAGAGCTGGTTGCTCTCAAAGCACAAACCTCTGCCGCGAATGATCCACAAAGGAGTGAGGGAAGTACGGTAGATGAGATAGAACAGGTAAATAATGAAGAAGAAACAACACATACTGAAAATGCGATTATAGCAGAAGCATCTAGTGACGACGAGTCCGTGACCACGGGTCTGACTGAGGATGTGAAAGAAAGTGAGAAAAGTGCACTCTTAGCCGAGCTAAACGCAGAGGTGAAGAGGCTGCGAGATCAGATAGACGAGTGCAACGACACCAACACACAGCTGAGACAGGAGCTGATGGTGGGCGAGGAGCATTTGTCCGTGCTGACACTGGAGAAGGAAGCCGATATTCGCGAAATGGCAGATAAGCAGGAAAGCCTGGAAAGTGAGCTGAATTTGTTGAAAGGCCGCGCCGAAGGTCTCAGGCGGGAAGAGGAAGCAAACGAGAAAAAGCGGGGTATCAAGGAAGATAGAGAAGCTGCACTCGGCATGAAGGTAAGACAGTTGACACAGGTAGGGGCTGGTTTAAAGAAATGTGTGGAGGAACGAGAAACAGAGTGTGAGCTAATGAAGCAAAAGTTGGCGTCGCTGGAGATAGAACTGAGTGAGAGCGTGACTGCGAATATGGAACTGGTGGAACGATTAAGTATGGTAACGAAAAGTCTGGCCAGCCACTCTCCAACGGGCAGACAGTGGGTGAAGGATGAACTGGTGCAGGGCTGTGTGGAGTGTGGGCGTGTCTTCAGTCTAACAAAGCGGAGACACCACTGTAGGTATTGCGGGAAGATATTCTGCCACGCGTGTTCGGAATATCGGAGATTATTGCCGGGTGGATGTAAAATGGAACGGGTTTGTAATGGTTGCAACGATAGCCTCAGCAAAGACGTGCTTTGATAAAGTCTCCTCAGTGACAACGACAAATATAGACTTCTTGTTACTGACTCGTTGATTGGTATATCACCCTATCAAATCACTAGCTAAGCAATTGTTTACTAAATATTTTTATATGTGTAGTGGATATATACGTACGCACTTTTGGCTAACGTGGATTGGTATGTCACCCTACAGATTGGTTCCCGATCCAAATCGTCATTCTTCAAAGAGAGCGAAAAGCAACTATATCTTTTAGGGTTTAAAACATTTTTTGTATGTGTATCGCATATATATAAACACTTTTGGCTAACGTGGAAATGTGTCGCATGTATATATATATTTACGTACTTTTGACTAACATGAATTGGTATTTCGCCCCATATATAAATTGGTGTCCATTCCAAATTCGCATTATTCAATCATAAACTAAGCAATTAATTTCTAAATATGTGTATATATATTCGCTACAGAGTTATTTGGATCATATTAAGCCTTGTACATACTTAAATACTCGTCATCATACATGTTGTTGCATTCATAAAAGATACAGATCAACCTCTGGCAAGAGAAATATCGTTATAAAAAATACAAATATTAAGAATAAGAAATGGCAAAGAAACGGGTTGTACCAACTTTATTTTATCTTTGAAGGAAATATATGTCGATATATGGATAACATGCGTACCTAAACAATTTCGCAAGCCAACCAAAGATATTGCGCTAAATATTATATCAACTCTACACTATACGGTGCGTATGTAAAACAGCCGAGCACTACTCTGCGAGTCAAACATTGAAATATTGCAAGATTATGGACATTCGAAAAATCCTACAGTGTCAAGATCAACTCTAAAGGTTACTTAATCATGTCCAGAGCTAATAATACATCTGAAAAATTTTATGCGCACCGATCACGAAAACACAGAAATTTTTCATACAAGTGTGATCCACGTTCAAATAACTACACAAACCGATCTCATATTGAAGGTCAAACGATTCCCGCAGGAAATTATTTTAATGTAGCCGAGCAAATATACGAAACAACAACCGACGAAGATTGTTTCGTATTTTTTGAAACTGCTTTTGTTTTATGCCGCGTAAGTTATAAACATTCGCAATAGTTAGCGGTGTTCAAGGCAAACGGCAATATACTAGAACACATGAATCGTACAGAAACTTGCAGCTATAATATATAAAATATTTTATTTCATGAATTTATAAACTACTTACAATCGATTTTAAAAGAAAACACCATACGTTCGAAATCCACCATACCTATGATGAAAAAGATACAACAAAAATTTGATGAGAAGATCGATTCGAAAAACTAAATCAATAAAGAAAATGGTACGACTCATCGATCTTGGTTGGTTGGATCATCATAAAATAGGAGTGCGAGTCCCATAAGACTGAAGACTAAATGTTTTGTAATCATTGTCGTTAGAGAGTGCTCAATAAGAGACAAATTTATGATGAAACTCACCTCTATAGTTATCAATAGCAGGAGTCGCCAAACCAGACGCTATACCTGCAAATGATAAAAAAAGATAAGATTGATAAATAAAGTTGCTGCAATACGCGCAAGAAGAAAAAGAACTCGCGGCGTTGTTCAGTATGAATGTGTAATCAAGGAATTCAGACTGCTCTTCCTATCAAGAAGTTTAATTTATTAAGATCATCATTCAACGCGAACATGAACAGCCCAACAATAAGCAATATTTACCTTCCGGTTGACTGCTCTTAACCTGACAGCAACGTGACCATCTTGCATATCAGTGATAACCTCGCGCTAACAGCTATCTGTGTGTCAGGAAAAGAAACTAAATGATGAGACAACATTGAAAGACATTATCCACCGATATACTCGTCGGGAAGATCATGGGCTCAGAATAAGAGACATTCAACATTACTAATTAACTCGGGGTATCAAACCCAATTCAATCGTCTGTCCGCCCGTCTCTTGTTTAAAGTCACGGCCAATAACATGCGTTCCATAATGTCGCGCTCAAAACATCATAAAACCATACCATATAGACTGCATGATGCCTGATGCCCGATAAAGTGCCCTTCGGAATGTGACCACAATTTTATCCTGGGGCGCAACTTATATAATATTGCACAATATACAACAGAGAACCTTTTTTTTATGACTTTATGTGCATCTCTTCACAAACCAACAAGAGAAGAAGAATTCCACAAGAAATATTTCACACATTTCAGTGATTTCACTATTTACTATCACATGTGGTCCTGTGGGAATTTCTCATTTCATACAACTCCGAGTACCTACAGAGGGCCAATCAGTTAACACAAAACTCTTCTATTTACAAGACAAGACAACGGTACACAACCGGGGTCCTCAAAAAAACTATTTTTCAAACAATATAGTAAGTATCGGTACAATTACGGGACAGAAAAACCCTGCAACAAACTCTGTTTAACTTTTGTAGGCTTTGCGCTACACATGCTTAACCCTTGCAAGTCCCGAGGCTCTATTGACGCAACATATAGTGGATGTTGCAATTAAGAACGTCCCTTTCTCCATTGGATTAGGTGCGTAGTGTTTCAATGGAGAATAATGTGTCTGTTGGACGTATTGTGATGCGTGCATGTATGCATGTATACTGTTAAGCTCGAGTATTTATGTTACCCTGCGTGATGAACTAGCCTCACGGTGGTAGGACTTGTAATAGTATCCCAATATACACGTGTCTGATTCTGGACTCTAGCATGCTTAGATCAGACTCTGTATACGCGATATTCTTCAAAGAAGTTGCTGAATGTCTATATTTATACATACTCAGCTATACATAGTGCAACACGTATATAGTTCACTCAAATCTGTTAAAAAGGACGCATTCAACTCGCACTATCTTGATTATGCTGTTCACTGACACAGCATACACTTTTTCGCGACCACAGTTTTGTCGAGCATAACAAAATCTACACCGACAAAATGTCCGGAAACTCTGATATTCTTGCCCCTACTGAGGATGACATCTCTAAGATGTTGATGGCTAAGGTACACATTGGTACCAAGAATGTCGATCACCAGATGCAGCAGTACGTGTACAAGCGTCGCTCGGATGGTATCTTCATTTTCAACTTGCACAAGGTGTGGGAAAAGCTTATGCTTGCAGCTCGTGTGCTCGTCACCATCGAGAACCCCGCAGATGTGTGTGTTATCTCTGGACGCGAGTTTGGTCAGCGTGCTATTCTTAAGTACGCGGCGCACACTGGTGCCACACCAGTTGCCGGTCGCTGGACCCCCGGTACCTTCACCAATCAGATCACCCGTGCTTTCAAGGAGCCTCGTATCTTGGTGGTGACCGATCCCCGCACTGACTTCCAGGTATGTATATTATGCATGTGTCATATAGCAAACGGTCATAACTCTCTGTCGAATATCTAATTATCGTTTGAAATAGTATATTCTGCAATAGTTAAGTAAGCTAGTATCTGTTTTGTTCCTTGGGAGCTCTGAGGACTTTAAATTGTCGTAAGATTCGGGCTAGAAACAAATTTGCATGGAAATGGGATATCGTGTATTGTTAGGGCAATACTTCATTTAAATTTTTTTTTAAGTGTGTGTGCTGATGATCGTACATTTTCATATTATTGCACGAATTCAACGGATGTCACTTAAACATGGAATTAGTGATAGTTGAATGTATCTGCATATTCTGTAGTCAATTCGCACTTGGCGATTATCATATACAAATGAATTGAGCGAATAATGAGAAACCACTTATAATGCTTCACAGATGCTATCACGCAGTTGAGAGTTTCACTTGTTGGTAATATATCTTATTATTTAACCGATACTGGTCAATGAAAGATGACGCGTTTTCTTCTCATATTTCTGACCTATTCAATGTCATTTCTCTCTTATAGGCTATCATTGAGTCTTCATACGTCAACCTGCCCGTTATCGCTTTCTGCGATTCTGACTCTCCTTTGAGACACGTTGACATTGCCATCCCATGCAACAACAAATCCGTCAACTCTATCGGTCTTATGTGGTGGTTCCTTGCCCGTGAGGTTCTTCGCCTGCGCGGCACCGTATCCCGTCAACAGCCTTGGGAGATCATGCCCGATCTATACTTCTACCGATCACAAGAGGATCAGGAGAAGGAGGATGAAGAGGCTGTTGAGGCTCAACTTAAGGCGAACGCGTTCGATTCACAACCCGCTTTCGAGAACCAGCCCCCCGCTGAGGAGATTGCTGATGATAACGCCGACTGGGCGTCCATGAGCAATGCCGCTGCCGGTCAGGACTGGTCCGCCTCTGTGCCATCTGCTACGGCTGATCCCGCTGCCGAGTGGTAAGTTTCAATGTCAACATTTGATTGTATTGTCTAATATGTAATGTTTTTGTGCTTCATAATGTGGGTTGATAAAGAAGTTTCAGATGGCGGCTTAATTTTCTATGATTAATATATTGTCTTGATTGATCGTAAAATAGGGGAGCCGCCGATGCCGCCCCTGCTGCTGGTGAGGGATGGGGAGCTGCTCAGTAAATCATGATATTTCAGTAAAAAAATAGATGATGGGTGCATCTAGTGTCTAGTATCTTGCAATTTGTTATCCGATTCTCGTTCACGTATATACTAGACTAGATGACGAGGTCTATGTGGACTAGGTAAAAAATGCCTGTCTGCGCTCAACCATCTGCCGAGTGATTGCATTTATTTTGTTGCCTAGTGGCGGACATGTACCCCTTGGTGACGAGAAGTCGTCTTAAGTAGTTCGCTATATGATCTCTCGTTGAAAAAGAAATTCATTTTTAACGTTGAAAGGGTACTATAATAAAGTACTTTGCGTTGAACTTGTATATTCACTCAAAAGCACACGCTGTGTAATCGTGCCTACAATAGTTTCTTTCGGCTGACGAAAAGGAAAGAGACATTCTACACGAACCCGGTTGTCCATATAAAAATGTACCCAGAGCTCATATGCTTGAATTTTTACGCTTCTGTAATTTAATATATGAGTGTTTCTATGTATTTTTATTAGCGTGTTTGTCTATATATGTGGATATGCACGAATATATGGTGTATAGGTATATGTGTTGCATGTCAATGTTCATTTTAAGTGTGTATATGTCTGTATACATAAATTGTCAACTAAATATATATGGGTGTATGTATTTATAAATGTATGTATGTGTATACACGTGTACATAAATAACATCTTAAAATGAATATACATGTACTTTTATATACATAAATATGTATATGTGTACATATACATATGTATGTATAGATACTTATTTATTTATATGTAGTGAGTAGCTAGCTGCGAAAAAGTACCTTGCTCAAAATTCACAAGTACACTTGAATTGTTTCGCTCAGTGAGCACTCCCAAAGATCTTTATCCTTTGGATTTCGGGTCAGTTATTAACCTCTATATTCTAAGAAGACGAGTATCTTGGAATGCTTGATATGTAGGCTCTCATAATCAATTGTAGTGAAATTGTGAATAAAACCAGACTTCATGCTCAAAGTAGGATTTCAACTTCAGAGTCGATCACATTGTCATAGTGCAGGTGTCTTAGACTCTTAGTCTTTACAGATCATAATTTTTATGTATGCGTTTTTGCGATGATGTAAACCATTCGCGTTTATGTATTGTTCAATAAACACTGGGACAGGCCCAGGAAGTAGGAACTCATCAGGAAGATATACTCGTTTTTATGGACCAATAGGCAATATGTTCGTGGCCAATCACATCACATCCTCATATTGCAGAATGACATTTGTTGTGTGACGTCACGAATCTCATGAGTCCGCGAGTGTCGTCACTAGTCACATGAATCAACATGCGTCAAATTTTTTGTACATGCCCGTCAGTCTGCCACACTCTGCCAGTGATATATTATCAGTCCACTGATTATTTTGATTTTTTTTATGCACGTTTTCTTGATATTGTGATCATAATTTGCTCTACATTACCTGTTTTGGTTTGTTCTTTTCTATACAAAAACAATACTTATATTAATTTACTTTTTTCAGTCCTAAAACTACAACCAAATTTAGATTAATCTGGATTTTGAAGTATATATAAATTTCTGCCAAACCGTCACGCCAAGAGAGTGATAGAAATATTATTTACCAAAATGATTATTTTAAATTTTTTATTTGTAAAAATCAAAATTCCGCTCTTAACTGAATCATGATCATATCATCAGGTGCCACTAGATTTTCCCAATTGACCAGCTACCAAGGTAATATGATTTATATTTATATTTTTTTTAAAGATGCACACTGCTAGTCATGCTATGTATATATATATATATATATATATACTTCCATANATTACATANATACTATTTACAGGAATACTAATACCTACAGGATATATA